CACCCCGATGGGACGAAACACGTGGTCGGGCACGCGCACGCTTCCTGAGCGGGACTGTACTTTTAAGGCTTTGCTGCATCAGGAGCAGCCTCCTGTTATCTACCTTCCTTTAGGACTTGGCAACGAGGTCTGACAGGGCGTTACCTGCCGCCTGCAATCACCTCAGCACCCTCAATCACCTTCGGCCTCGGTCTCTGCCTCTTGCCCATCCCTTTGGGAAGAGATACGGAGATGACGGGCGCTCCCACCGCAGCACAGCCGCCGATAGCATCGCCGCTCGCCCTGCAGGGCTCCTGCTGATGGCTTTCAATGTCCTTTTATGGAAGAAAAATGAATCGCCTGCCCAGCCACGAGTGCCTCCGAGCCGAGATGACAGACGGAAAGTTGCCATTTGTTGTGGTTTTGGCAGTGAGCGAGCAGAGCGCGTTCCCATGCGCGGCGCTCATTTAAAAAGGGCGCAGCAGAGGCACTGAGCTGGAGGAGAAAGCTGGGAGCTGCAGAGCTGTGGGTTTCCAGGCATGCGGAGCTGAGGGGGAGGATGGAAGAGTCCTGAAAAGAGCCCTGAGCTTTCTGCTGGATCACACAAGCTGGGGATGGGCTTACAGGCAAAGGCACACGCAGGCGTGAGCGCTCCATTCCCAAATCCCGCCAGTAAAAGCAGCAGCAACACCATGCTTCCATTTCTCCCTCATCTCCACAAATTCTGCTCAACCACATTCACACAGACAGGGGAGGAGGGGAAGTTAAATACAGGAGATGGGCCCTAAGGTCACTGCCACTAGGAAGAAGTGACAGGGGTTTACCATAAACAAATTCATCGTCAGCTCTGCTCTGCACTAAAGCTGCAGGGCTAAGCCGTCAGCAACAAGCAAATCCAACCAACCAGGCTTCAACCAGGCACTACAGACAGTAGTGATCAAAATGGCTGAACGGAGAGTGAGACAGGACCAGGGGGCCTCTGAAATGTTTGCAGCGCCGTCAGGAAGCAGAATGAGACAGCAGACTCCTAACAGCAGGGAAAACATGTTGCAAAGCAAGGAGAACCAAGTGATTCTCCACATGCAAATCCTACTCTGAGGCATTTGGGACAAGCTCAGTTGCCCCATAACACACCTGTAGCTGGATCCTAGGTGGCAGGGGTTGCCTTGTTTTGTGCCTCTGGATGAGGCACAGCTGCGTGCCTCGTCATTGCAACAGGTAGAGAGATCACAGAGCCTACAGCACACCCCATTAGCTGCTTTTGTAACCTTAGATCTGTTTTGCCATGATTTCTTATTTCAGCAAGAAATGCTGCTCTCACTGAAGTCACTGAGAACCATACAATGTGACTTATTAGCATGGGCTGTGGATGCAGCGTTAGCACCCTGCTAAGAAAAGCCATGTTCAGACACAGCTTGCTAGGCAGAGCTCCATACAAGCTTAAACCTGCCTCACTCCCAGCAGAAAATGAAGGTGAAGAGCAGCTGGATGCATCTGCTCCTAGCCAGCACCTTGCACTCAATCCTGAGAAATACCAGCAGCTTGAAAATAAGTCCTTAAAACATCACTCCTCTGTTCCGCAAATTAAAAGCGCACACAAAGACTGCTGTGCTCAGAGAGCCCAAGCCAGAGACACAGAGCTGATGGCAGGGATCCATCCCACATCTCCACTGACACCCACATCTCCAGCACAGCAGTTGGGACACCCAGCAGGCAAACTCATTCCCTAAGCACCACCTCATTAGCAGGATGCAATGCAGAGCCCTGAGAACAGGAGAGGCAGCTGCCCCATCCCAGAGCAATGCAATTTAACACTCTGCAGCCATGTGTAATCGCCTCTTTGCATCCAGTCAGCAGACAACTCGGTTCAAATTAGCAAAAATCCTAAGGCACACAAAGGAGTTTTAAGGGAAAGTGCTGGAAATGCAAGTCCTTGTGATGCGGCTGTAGGATTCAGCTTCGGGTTTTGAGCTCTCCAGCACCCAGAGGGCCAGCACTGCTTCATGCACACACAATTTCCATGGCAACAGCAGCTCTCACCTCTCCATCTAGGCTGGCTGAAAGCCCTGCAGTGCTTTGTGCTGAGACTGCAAAGAGGGGAGAGCCCTTCCCAGGCCACAGCACTGCACTGGGATGGCAGCGAGCAGCTGGGAACAAAAGCTTTGTCTTTTCTGGACAATACAGGACGTTGGGAGGAGGGAGGCAGAGCAGAAGTAAAGGGTTTCCTTTCCTGGTGGGAAACAGAACTTTTCCCATTGTGCAGAAGTGCACGCTCACTTCCCAGCGCTTTGGGAGTCAGCAAGCAATTCATGTCCTCCGTGGTTTTACCCAACTGCCAGCTTTGCTATGTCGGAATGCAGGGAGGAGAAACATGCATGGTTAGCAATGAGAAATTCAGGGTAAGATGGAGGCTGACCAAACTGGCCAGCAAGCCTGCTGCTGCCGGGAACCTGCTTGGTGCACAAAGCCCTTCTGGGAACAGAGGGGCACTGAGCAAAACCTCAAAGCTCCAACAGGCCCTCGTGTCAGCTTGCTGAGTGACAGCTGCCTCCCTCCCTCCCACCCCAGCTCAGACAAACACCCAGTAGGTTTTATTCTTGGGTAGCTGGGGCAACAGCTCTCCTCGACTCACTAAGCTTCTCCTCCAACCTGCAGTTATAGCAATATTAAGATTCAAGCCCTGGCCACCTCAGAAAGAGCCCAACTTCCCCCGGCACAGCTGGAGCCTCTGGCCCCAGCAGATGGCATGGGCTCATCTGCATGCATCCATGGGCACCCACTGAGCTACAGACAGCGACCAGCAGCTCTGCCCATGGCTGAGGTTCTAACAGCTGAGTTCTGGTTCTTGCAAGGTGCCAGCGGGTCAAACTACAGGAGATGTAGGTGCGATGCACAACCTCTGTATGCCTACAGATCTTCCTCTGTTAAGCCCAACCCGCGTTCAGCCAAGAGTGCTTCCAGCTGGTTTCCATCACTTATTTTACAGTGCATCCATATCTGGGCCAAACACCCCATGCAAGATGTAAAGGAAAGCCAGAGCACGAACACAAACTCTCCAAGCAAGATGAAGGATCCAGGTGATGGAGCACAGAAACACAACAGGACCACCACCACCTGGTCCCCCTCTCCCCACCCTGTAAAAGCCTGGATGTTTCCAGAGGCACCTTCTGACCTTTTGCTTTCTGTACCTCCCCTCGCTGTAGGTTCAGCTGTGCAAATGCAGCCCTTCCAACCAGAGAGGGACTCCTTCCAGGATCAGTCATCACCACCCCAGAGTCTGCCAGAGGCACTGCTAGTAAAGCCAATGCATCCTCTCCAACCTCTGCAGAGTTCCCATAGAGGAAAGGGATAATCTAGCCCTTTCCTCCCTGAAGGCAACGGTTTCCTGCGAGCAAGAGCATTAACTTAAATTCCTCATACTGGAAAGAGACAAGATAGCAGGGAATGAGAAGAATCACCAAAGTTGCTGCTATGAGACAACACCACATCCTGCTGTCCCTATTCTTCATCCTTGCCTTCAAATCCTAAAGTCGTTCAGACTTCTAAGAGCTCTAAGCTACTCAGCAGATTTTCAGCTAATGAATCAACACAAGCTGTCCAGGAAACCAGGAATCCAGCCCACTGGAATGCTGCAACCCCAGGGCAGGGGGAGGGGAATGGACAAGCAGCATCATTCCCAGCATAGGAAGGAAATGAAACAGCAAACCAGAAGGAAAGGAACATTTCAGCACCGACCTCTTATCACAGTTTCTGTGCCACTCTACACGTTTTTGGGGGGGGGGGGGGGGGGGAACCTTCAAAAAAAATGTTTTTTTGCACATTTGGAACGTTTGTGTTTCTCGAGGCTGAATTCCGCTCTGTGCTGCTGACACACACACATTTTGAAGACAGCTTGGGTTTTGCAAAAACAGATTTAAAACAAAACAAAACAAGGAAAGCTGAGTTGAACACGAATCGACAGTGCCACCTAGTGCCCTGCACAGCTCCTCCCTGCACTTCTTCCCAAACTGGAGGTGGAGGTGGGCACTAGCAAAACCAACCCGGATATCAGACAATTGAGAAGGATTTGTGCAACACTAAAGAGCGTTCTTCCCCTCCTCAAGAAAGCAAACTTCACTGCTGGCAACTTCAGTCTCTACAGACGACAGAATTTGACTTTCTCTTGCTTTCCCAGCACAGGCCAACAGCCACACTGCTTACAAGAGCCCAACACTATAGCAGCTACAAGCCTAAGTCCAAAGCACCCACAAACTCTGCTGCAGGAGTATGCAGCTCTGTGAGCACAGCACGTGATTTAAGCGTAGTGGTTAAAAGCACACATGCTGCCTTGTAGCTTTGTGACAAACACCAATAGTGCATTGGCCACCAGATGTGTGCAGGGCTCTGCTTATGTTGAGGAGACTGAGAAGCAGTTTTTACACTTCTATTTTTCCCTAGAACAGACAGTGCAGAAGCACAGCAGCCAGTTTTCCCCCATGGGACCCTATGATTCCTCTTTTACGGCTATTAGCAAGCTTTAGGAAGAGCACAATGATTTTCTGCCCTTTGAATTGACTTATTCAGACAAGTTTCTGACCCTTCCAATCAAACCTGTATTCAAGTGACAGCATAAAAGAAAAAGGTAAGATGTTAAGGATAGTTTGTATAGGCTTGTTTCAGCTCATTCTCCAGAAGTTTAATTAGACAAAGGATTACAATTTGCCTTTCAAACACCTGGCTCCCTGCTCACTTAAAACATTTCTGTATACGCAAGACAGCATCCTAAGGTTTTGTAGAAGCTTTTGTAGCCAATATCTTTCAAACCTGCCACATGAAAGGGATTCCGCTGTCTGTATCAACAGTACCCTGAATTCATCTCTCCAGACACACAGAACATCAGCAGGATCCAACAAATACCTTGACTGCTGCTCCATGCAGCCACACGAGACCATCAGCTCAGCTGAGGCTGCAAAGCGTGAGCTGTGCTCAGCTCTGCACCAAGCACTCCAGAAGAGACCCAGTGGCAAATGTCACTCAGTTACCTTTCTGCAGCGGGGATTAGGGCAGCTGAACCTCTTCACATCGCTGTCCAGTAGAGCTGGGAAGTTACAGAAGGGACACCTGCAGCCCAAAATAAGAGGCTATTAATGCACGGTGCCAACAGTGGATTTAGTCAAAAAGCTCTGTGGTGCTTAACAGTGCTGCCAAGCAAATGCCTGCTGCAAGGATATGCTGACTGCTGTCCTTTTCCTCATATTTCTTCGATCACTTCCCTGTTTGCAATCAAAATGTCATATGCTCAGCACTACTTTAGACTGTATGATATAGAGGATCAGCAAAGAGTTTGCAAGCGAGTCTTAAGGGAGACAGCTGTATTGAGCTTTAATCTGCTCCCAGCCAAAGGCAGGCCAACCTGAGTAAAAACAGCCTGGCAGGCAGGAGCCTGAAATAGCAATGCAGCTCCGTCCCATAGCTGACACACATTTAGGGGCTTGGGGAACTCTTTTTTAACACCAGTTTGATCAGTCTGCACCTTGCACTGGGCACTGACCTGACAAGCTCATCTGCACAGGCAGCAGCCACCTCCTCCTCGGCTTTCCGCTCGTAGTATTTACACAGGATGGTTTCTGGAAGCACCTTCTCCAGCTCGCTGGTGGGGAACGAACACGTGCAACTGCCTTCCATGCAGCTGAGCTCTGACTGCGGGCGGAAAAGAGCTCAGTCTCAGTATGATGCTAGTGTCAAACCAGTCAGTGCTTGGAACATCCCACGTAAACCAGAGCAGAGCCGTGCTTAGAGATAAACACATAATCAGCAAGCGACTGCCAGAAAGCAAGCTTACTATGGCAAGAACGTGGCTGGTTCATCAAATGGATCAGAACTCAAAACATGTATTGGACACGAAGATGCTGGCTGATAGGTTGGGTCACAGTCCACAAGCACCAAATCCACCGTGACCTCAAGGCAGCCCGTTATTTCTGCACGTGTTTGTGACCAACGTGTTACATTCTTGGCAATACAGTCATAGAAAATACAGCTATGTTCACATGTAACAGAGATCCCAGAGTACCAAAGTACCCTGCAGTCCAATTATTATACCCAGCACAGTGTACACTTCAGAGCAGGTAATAATTCACATACAGCTCAGCTAGGCATCAGGATACTGCTAACTGCTCCCTTACCAACTCTGGATCAACTCTGGCAACTGTCCCAGGAACAGCAGCATTTGTGGCACTGTTGTTGGTAGCACCATTGAGGAAACAGCCCTCAAAATAAGCTGGGGTCACAAGGAAGTGATGAAGGACAAGTATTTTTAGCTAGGAAGGGACTGGCCAAGTCAGAGATGACACCACATCATGCAGATACCACTGGTTCATTAAGTAGGGAATCAGAACCAGATGAGTTCAAGTTATTGTTACTATGAATGCTGTAGAAAGTTCTCCTAACGATCCATTTCAATTTGTTCAGCACGAAGCACACAAGATGGAGGTCAACAAACTAAAACCTTACAACCCAAACCCCATTGGAAAGTTGCTAATGGTGAGGTTGACTCATTGGATTGGCATTTCAAGACAGTTCTGATCAAATACTTCTCAGGGAGCGTGGCTACATCTGGTTTAAGCTACAAAACTATGCAAACAGCAACGTGATCACCAAACAGCAATTTATCCATTTTCCCTTTGTCCAGTTGGGAAATTCTTACCTTCCCAGAGCCAAAGACTGCCTCCTGAGCATATTTAATTAGGCACTCCTTGCAGAACAAGTGACCATCTGCACACTGAGTTAGCTCTTCAAAAGCAAACTCCCCATAACAACAGCGGCACTCTATCATCTGACCATCCTGCAACACAACAGAAGTATTAGCAACAGCAAGAAATAAATAGGAATCAATAGCTATAGCAACATACCAACACAGTGCTGCAAGTAAACACCCCGTGACATGAGTACGTACAACTGCAAGCTACAAGCAGGGACAACATTAATTATGAGGAGGAGCCACAGTTGCACACCATTCCATCAGATATCCTGCTCAGCGGTCAGAATCCACTAAGCAAAACCAGAAACTCAGTTTTAAGTAACTTAATACCCACACGTCCGGTTTGGCAGATTCCAAACAGCCAAAGAACACATGGTGTTTTAGTAATTCTGAGCCCACAGGCGTACAAGCATCTTGAGCTGGGGAAGCTGTGATTGCAGAGAAGCAACAGAGCACACGCCATTCGCATGGGGAAAAGCAAGCTTCAAATCTGCTGCCCTCTAAAGGAACAGCCACCCAGCTGCCTGCAGTTACCCTGCCTCGGCCTCCTCACCACAGCTGTGATCGTGTGCCCACTTATTCAAACCTCCAGTACCTTCTGTGAAGTCTGAAGAGAAGCAGCAATTGCGAAAGAAAAAGCAATCCAAAGCAACTGAACCTATCTCAAACTTTTCTCCATCCAAAAGGAGAAGCCCCATTTTCAGGTTTTTGAAGAGCCCGTGCTGCAGAGGAGAAAGGCCTTCCTGCTGGCAGAGCTCCAAGAACAACAGCAAATCTGCTTCGAAGTCTCAAACAGCCTAACATCAGTAGCAAGAGCGAGCCTGGTGCGATTCCATTGCAGTGTTTGTTCTGGCCAGTAAAGATACAAGCAGTAGCTGACTGAATTACTGCAGATCATTATGTGCATCAATACTGTCTTGCTGGACTCAGCTCATCTACCTCATCCAAAAGCCAGCCAACACACACTGTGCAGGTTTTGCCAGCTCAGCAAAAGCAGCACAGTGCAAATGCAGTAGTTCTCCCCTCCAGAAGCCAGGAAATTCTGAAGTGCTATGTGCAGAACAGCACCTATGTGTGAGCTGACCTCAAGGGATCACGTTAGATATACTGACCTTCTGATACTGTTCCTCATTCATCTGCAGAGCAAGGAGAAAGTCTGCATGCTGTAAAAGAGACGTGCATCTTTATTTACAGAATAGATAAAGCAGTTTTCCAGCCTCTACACCCATTTACATTATCTCAAGATTTACAGCCCACCACAAAAGGCACACTGTCTGCTCACAACATCACTCAGCCCATCCCTCCAGTCCATTAAGATATTTATGATTCAGCTAAAACAGACAGGGGGAAGGCAAAGGCAAAGGCAGCAAGAACAAAGAACCAAATTCTACATTATGAAGGGCTGCCCCTTCATGTCCCTACGGGCAGAGATCAACTCGATGGGCCTCTCCAGCAGAAGCCCCAAGGAACATTATCATTGCTTTTAAAAGGAGGCACAAACCATCTGCTTAGGAGAAGCTGATCTTTAAGAAGCTACTTCAGAAAGGACCGTATGTGCAGAAAGGTGAATTCTCTCTGGAAGACAACACAGCAGCAGGTGTTGCAGGGTTCTGCTTTGAAAGACACAGACCTCAGCAAGGGAGGAGATGTTCTGGAGCCTGGAGTGCCAAGCTCTGCAAGGCAGTGAACGAGCAGACTGCCTCGGGCCTGGCAGCAGAGAGGTCAGTGTAGTGAGTTACTCAAAGTTCTGTTCAGTGTTTGAGTTTCAGTAAGAGGCAGATCTCCACGTTCAGGGCAAAGAGCTCTGCAGCCATCTGCACCACCAAGCCAAAGCAGTTCCTACCACTCACCTCTGCCATCTCTTTAACTTTTTGCTCATAGAATTCCTGCTCCAGTAGCACTGGAGGGAGAAGTGAGAGCCTGTCATAGGACCTCCAGTGCCGCCTCTTGTTCTCCAGAAAGAACATCCGCTTCTCAATCTTCACATCACCTAAACCAGAGTTACAGACACCATGAAGCAGGACAGAGCAGCAAGAACAAAGCTCAAATCCTTCCTCCTCTACACACCTCCAGCTACACAACTTCAAAACCTCACTGTACCAAGCAGATGTGCTAACGAAGAACATTCCAAAACAGGTAGCAGACAGTGACAGAAACACTGCTGTTTTGGGAACATATCCCCTTTCAAGGATGGTGCTTTCTAGTGTAAGCCAGTTCTGCTTACCATAGTCATGCAGAGGGGCACAATACACACTGCTTGTTATTTACCTTGCTCGAATTTGAAATCTATATATGAATACTGATTCATTTCTTTTCTCCTTTTTCGTTTCCCACTGGTTTCTGGAGACAGCTCCTGCCATTTTTTGATGGCATCTGAAAAGGCCTGAAAACAAAACAAAAAACAACATGCAGATTTAAGTCCCTTCTGTTCTCCAGGAGAAAGCAGCAGCACACAGCTCAAATCAAAGCACCGTACAAACAGTGCACAGGACTGAACTAAAACAGGAAAGCCAGGCAACACAGAGGCACGCACATCTCTTCCCTTTGTCCACTTTGCTGCTTTATGTACTCATAAAGCAATCGTTCCATTACAACAACGTAGCCATCAGGCAGAGCTGAATGGAAGCTTGCACTGCCTCAGCTATTAACACTAATACAGCTGCTGTCCACACTGACGCAGAGCTGATCTTTTTTTCTTTAAATTGAATTCCTCTTCTGAAGGTCTACAGTTAGAACCTGGTTTTGTTCAATTCAAGCACTCAGCGCTCAATCAAATGAAGAGGAACAGTGCTTTTAGCTGCAGTCAAGTACTGACAGAGTAGAGAGAGAAGCTCAAGCAAGAGAAGCATATCAAAAACACATCCAGTCACAAGCTTGCAGCTGTATTCACATTTAGCCTGGTGATACTCCAGAACAAATTTCTTTGCAGTTCCATTACTGTGAAAACTTCTTCAAAGAATTTAATGATTCATTTCGTAAGTCATAATTGTAAGAAATAGGGCAGTGAGGCTTGGCCTTCTCCTCAGTTACATGCTGTCACTTACAAACTAGTAACAGCAGTTGAGTTAAATGTTCTAAGACTTGGCTAAATGTCTTGGTTTTATTGGCAATTACACCCCACTTCCGCAAAGTACAGGAGTACCTTTGAGTTTAATGCATCACTTATCATAAACTAGCCACCGTTTCATCAATTATTCTGTCACAGAAAAGTAAAAGCTTCCTGCAGCATTCTATCTGGCTGATGAGTTTTGCAAGAGTCTACTAAGCAAAGACTTCTTGAAAGGAAAGGAGGATGATTAAAACAAAAAACCCACAGAGAAACCCCACGTAACCACACATCCAGAGGAGCAAGTGGCACAGTAAGGCTGAAAGACATCACACTGCTCCCCACAGGCAGCACAGGTAACCCTGGGAAAGACAACAGACTCGAACAGGACAACCTTTCGTGTGATTGCATAGTGTCCCTTGAGCTCATGTAGTGCCCACTTAATGTCCTGGCTGCTCAGCATCTTGAAGTCTGCCATGAGAAGGTCAGCTGCCTGAATAAAGCACCGCTGATCGAGCGGGGCAAGCTTGGAGAAGTCAAAGTAGTCCACTTTAGGCACCTGAGAAGGAAATGCAAAAGATGAGAGAGGATATAAAAAGACTTGCTACACATACACACACATCTCAAGTACTCTCGCAGGATAGGAGCCTTCTGCAGGACCTCCCCAAACTGTGGCACCCTGTTCTGAGCACACACCTAAGCAGCAGCTGGGAGGACAACGTGGATGTGAAGGTGCACACTGTGCTCCTGGCAGGACACAAGACAAGCAGCTTAAAGCTACTGTGTGCATCAAGTAGGGAGACTTGCACTTAAGAGGCTGAAAAGCAATGTGCCAAGGTCACACAAAACAGTCCTCAGGCCAAAGCACTTCATGTGACAGAATGACCAAGAATTCCTACAATAGATGTCACAGCAGGTGGCTGACAGGCAGGCAAGCCCGAGGGGCCTGCTGAGGGCACAAAGCAGACAAGAGGCAGCTGTGCAACAGCAAAACAAGAGTCTTGAAGTCATCTTGCAAGCAACTATTGCTATTAACCACCACCTGAATTGCACCTAGAGGCCTCCTAACAAAGCATGGCTCAACAAGGAGCTCTGCAAGTAAACACAGAACCACACGCCCCACGCTCACTTCATGTTGGACAGGCTGGAGGTGTGCTGTAGATGAGGGTATTCTCACTTGCCTTTGTCTCATCTTGGCTGGCAAGCAGGCTGCTGGTGGGATTTAAAACCATCCTGCCTTCCTTCTTTGGGTAATCTGGGTTTTCCAGAAGGAAGTTACAAAGTCTGGAAAGAAAACTATAGTTAGTTCAGGTTTGGGGAGCTCAGGCTCATTCCTCACTGGTACAATTGTTAGCATCCTCTAACAGAGGATGGGCAGGCAAGCCACAGCCTGCCCTGTGAGAACCCAGAGAGGCCTCAGGCTGGAACAGATTGAAAATAAATGACTGAAGATTAAGCAAAGAATTATCAGTTGCATGAGTGCAGAAGGGAAAGCAAATAGAATGTCTTTCAGCAATTCCATGTGCCTACGTGGAGCTCATACAGGTCAGCTACTCATCAACATAAAGCTCCACGCAGGGGGAAAATCAGGCTTGCCTCCCACCCACAGGCACACATGTGAGCAACACCTCCTTGGGCTACGTGACTCCATCCTGCACCACTGCAAGTGGAGGAGTGCTCATGTTCTGCTGGGAGGAAACACTGTGAAGACTGCACAAAAAGGAACAACTGCAGCACAGCAGCATTAACTGAGACAGCTGACATCCACCACGCCACACACAGCTATGGAAAAACAAGCACACAAATCCCTGTAACAACTGCAATAGGCTGAGGTCTTCCTGGTCAGAAGATTACTGAATCAAATTTTAATGAAAGCCTCCGGTCTTTAACTACTTTCCCATAAGGGCAAAGGCAGAAACATGCTTAAAATTGTTTGCATCAGACACGTACTGCAAACACAGCTCTCATTGTCACGGAGCCTGAAATCACAGCGGCACTGTCCAAGTGACACTGCAAACTGCTATAAGAGGGAGCAGCATTCAGAAAATGATCCCTAAAAATAGCTGGCAAATGACATCCCAGACAAACTGCTGCGTGCCCGAGGTCCTGCTGCAAACAATTGTAACTCTGTCAGGCCAATTTAGATGAACTGAGCATTTCAGCTCCGGAAACCCTCCAGCAAGTGGTTTTGGAATACCCCACTGCTGAGATCCACACCCACTGCAGAGTGAGGTCCCACTCACAGGAGTGAGGGGCTCTCAGCCTCTCCTGCTTGTCCTCAGCCCCTCTTGGCTGGGCCAAGGAACTCACCCTGGTCCTCAGTTTCCCCCGCTGCAGAACAACATCATTCTGGAAAGAGCTATGAGGAGCAATTAACATTCATAAAACTGTTTGAATAAGAAGGTGCTAGGTTGCAGCAAAGACAAAACTGCTGCTAATTTGCATTCCCAATGTCAGAAATAGTCCCTAATTAAGAAATCTGAACCAGAATCCAGAGTTAACCCGCCATCGAGGCACCATTTCTTCAGCCCTGTGTTCGCATTCAAAGCAGAGGCATTGCTTTCTGTTCAACCAGGTATTGACATCTCCAGCCAGGAGCCCCTGACCAAGCTGAAGGCTTCTGCACACAAAAGCTGAATGGACGACACCCAGCTGGGAGCAGCTCTCACATCTTCCACATCAGCTGGAAGTTTGAAGACCATCCTATTGGAAAACAACACAACATCCTGACGCTGAAGAAGTTTAATAGCTTCCATCTCCCTGCTTTTGTAAAAGATAACTGTTCTAATCCAGTGAAACAAAGCACAAGGAGCTCAAACGCGAGGGCCTCAGCTGCAGCACGGTGCATTTGAGCTCTCCTGCCTTTTGGTGCTTGAGATTTTCAAAGATGTTAACCCTCAGCATCCGACAATGAGTTAAGTGGGTCCCAGCACACACACACACACACTCGTGGCACTGCTCTGTAATATCTGCACCCCAGGACACAGAGCCAGCTAAAAGCCTCATCTCTGGCCAAACCCAGCCACCCCCAGTTATTATATACCTCGAGCCTGATTCAGCTTGACACGCCGTGGAGATCAAAGAGCCCCTGCCAGCAAGGCTGCCCAGTGCCACGACCCATTTGTTCCGATACAAAAGACACGGTGACAATTCAAAAGACAGTTTGGTTAAAGGAATAAAAATATGGGGAAGAAATCTTTATCATCCAGTAAGTCCGCCACGCGCCGCTGAGCAGACACTGTGGGCAGCCTGCAGGGCAGCCTGTAAGCACCTTTTCATCTCCCTGGTTCTGCAGCACACAATAGCAGAGAAGACATTCCGGGAGCAAAAAGGGAAGGAACGCATTAAGACTTACAGAAGCCGGGATTTAATTCCACCAGGCTTCACTAAATCCCTGCAGGATACAAGAACGGCTTTTGCACACAATCCCTGAGAGGGTCCTGCAGCCACACACCTAACTTCAACAGCCCAGGGATGAGTGCTGTGTGCCTCCTGCACTTCCAGCACAGCCACCCACTGCCAAGTGCCCAGCACAGGCACCTGAGAGCTTCTCGTGCTCAGCACGTCTCTGCTGCAGGGAAAGCACTTCCAGAAAAGGAGAAGAGCTGCAGCCTGATCATTTCCTAACCAAGCAGCGTTTCTCCCAAGGCATGATTTCACAACACAGGTAAAGGGATAAGAAATCTAAGCATGATTCCATTAATTGGGCTTAGCTCCTTGCCACTCATTTACATCCAGTAAGCCTCACATACTTGAATACTGCTAACTATGGTTCCGATGCTAAAGGCATCAGATCCACACAAGATAGAGTGAATCCTATGGCAACCAACACTTGCTCTTCATTTTGGTCATGTAATAACTACACTGAAAGTGTTTCAGTGACAGTTACAGAGAGAAGAGTGGGGCCACCCAACGTCAGCCATCATTTACCCCACACTGCCCTTCCCCTGAGCTTCTGGTGCCAACACACACAATCTCTCACTCTTCAGCTGCAAAGCTTTACTCACCAGGGTGGGGAGATGTTGTAACTTATCAACAAGGTAAAGGACTTGTTTTAGTCTTTTGATTCTAGCGTGACTCTCAGAGATACCAAAAACATTTCTTAACAAGGAGCCTGGAGTTGCTGGTACAAGCAGCAGACCTCGGGGTGATTTCTCATTGCTTTTACTTCCCTCCTTGGCTCATATTTCTGCTCAATTTGACCAAAATCTGTCCATCAGCAGAGACCTGGAATAAATCCTACTAGTCCTCAAATGTGTTTATCTGCAAAAGGTGGTTTGAGAGGAACTCAAATGATACCAACTGCTACTCAAGGGGATAAAAACCAACATCATGGCATCAAATGAAGAAGTCCAGACCAGTGTCAGTTTTTATCTGGAAGAAGGCAGGAAGAGGCAGGAAATTAAGTAGGAAATTGATTCATACAATTCAAAATTCACCAACTCACCTCTGAGCTATATTCTACAGAAGCCAACCCCTATTTCTGACACTCACCTCTAACAAGTCTGGTAACAGGAAGAGATGATATGTCATAGCTTTAAATCTTCAAATAACTAGTTAACAGAACATGCAAATTATCTTAAAAAGCAAAGCTGCAGCATGATGCCAGAATCATACAGGCTTTAAGAATAGCTCTATTACACATTTAAAAAAGAAATCCATGCTTTTTGGCACTACCAGCATAGTGCTGACTCCAGCCTGGATACACTCAACAGCATTATTAGCAGGAAGGAAATGGAAGTGTGACTGCAGCCAAGCTGCTTTATGGTGCACCCCAGCTCTCTGATCCATACTTACACATTTAAGTCATAGCAGTCCTTGATGCTGATTAGCTCTTCAATATATTCCTTCCTCACATCTGGAAATCTCGCTTCCTACAGTAGGAAAAGCTAAGGGTTATACAGGTATTGGAGGAGCTGCATAGCACAACCTTGCAACAGCACCAGAGGCAGAGATAAATGCATGGGTAGTTATCTAGCATGCTCCCGAAACGAGGGCTAAAATGGGATCCAAGAGACTGATTATATTCATACAGCCTGGATACTGCAAGCTGCTGGCTCTCCTGGCTCCACAGGAGAACTAATAGCTCTTTTTTATGTGAGCACAGGTAGTGGTGTGAGTGGCTGTGAGTGCCTGGCCTTACGAGTGCGCAGGGTGGATGGAAAGAGGAGAGGCACACGGGTACAAACTACAACATGAGCAAAGTTAACACATACCCCCCAGATGGAAGATAAGGGGTTCTGACCTTGTGTGCTGGAACACATTCCAAAGCAAGAGGGAAATGAAACCACACACAGACTCCCGACGAGAGCAGAGCAGACAACAAACCTTTACTGGCATCATGTAGCCAAGAGCCCTTTAGTGCTCTCTCATTGGGTTTCCACATGGTACTGCAATTGGTTGCACCAGAGGGTACTTGGCTTTGCAAAACTGAACTGGTCAGGGTTGTGAAGCAACCTGATCAGTGTAACTGTAACAAGTATGTACTCATCCTTCTCTTAGAGCAGGTCAGCAGTCACCAAGGTCTTACTCTGAAAAGTGAGTGCTGATAGCGTGCTACTTGGAGAGTAACAGTATTTTCTCAGTCTTGGTTTCCCCAGACGAAATTAACATACAGTAAGATGCAACAGAGTCGTAAAAGATAAGAAATAAAAAACATTAAAAAAAATAATCCATAAAGTATCAAAAGAGAGCCTTTCTGCCTAGCAGGCAGTGCAATGACTGTATGCCAGAGGAGAGGGGAACCACCAGATGCAAAGCATCACCAAGCACTGTTTCCTGCTGTTTTTGTAATGCTCACCGTGCTGCCCAAGCTAAACATACCACAGGGATAGAGAGTGGCCCTGTGTCACTTTGCCTCACTGCACCCCAACGCACTCCATGCAGTTCTGCTCCATTTTCCTGGCCAACCAACAGCCCACCCCAAAGCAAACACCATCGGGATTCACATCCATTCATCACTGCTGCCGCAGCAATGGGGTTAATCTCTTTAAACCAAAGTTTTCCAAGACTGCTCACTGCACACTCACATTGCGTGTCGCTGAGCCTCAGCCAGAGCGAGGAGGACCTGCAGCTGAAGTAAGCAGGAGTCGTGCTTTGAGCACACGCAACGCCGCACGCCTTGACAAAACCATCTGAAAGCAACACGAATGCAAAATGGAACGACTTACTGTCTCTCTGATGAGCAGGGCAGTGAAGTCCTGGTCCTCCTGCCCCGCAGCCCCTTGTTCTGGCACGCTGCTGGACCCGAGTTCATGCGAGCCCTGCGCTGGGAAGGCAGGGCCGGGCTGCTCGTTGTCTGTTGCCTGCTGTCCCCTGGTCTCCTCTGGTGGATGTGCCGGCTGTGGTGAAGCAGGACCCGGAATGCCATCCTGCTGTGGCTCCGGTCTGGGAAAGGCCGGCCCTGGAGCCTCCTCTCCATAGGCCCTCAGAGATGCTGAGCCTGCCTCGGGCTGCCCCTGCTGTGGAGCACAGCCATTGAGCACAGCGCGCGGCTCCGTGTCCAGAGGCTGCAGGCAGGGGGGACCCGGCGGGCTGCTGTCCTGGATCTCCTGCTCTGTGGTGGTTGCAGCAGCTGTTCCATCGATGCTCTGCGAGAGCTCTGCCTTTAAGTCCTCCCCTTGCCAGCCCTGGGCTTCCACCTTTTCCCTTTGCGGTGGTGGAAACTCTGCTTTCCCCAGACTAACAAATTCCCTGTTAACAAGCTGCGGACTCGTTATTACTGCTGGAAACAAACTCAGGCCAGGCTCAGGGTCGCTCGTAAGTTCAGACCTGGGGCCATTCAGCTCAGGTGGCCCCGGCTGCTGCAAGGCAAAGTTCACACTCTCCTCCTTGCTTGGTCCAGCACTGCTCAGCGCCCCGTGGTCTTTCTGGCACAGCAGAGCTGAGATGTCATCCTGCACACACACGCTCCCCAAAGGCCCTACAGCATTTTTAGATCCTCCTTCTCCCACAGCGTTTGCACCCTGCCACCGAGCAGCAGGTCTGATGACGTTGGGACGCACGAACTGCTGATGCTTGGAGGTCTAAAACGAAGACAGAGGAGAATAAGTAGAAGTTCTTCTCTACTCATCGGAATCCTTGTTCCAAATGATCTTTTGCATCTCTCCAGATTTCTGACAGGAAACTGATGAAAAGGCAGTTAAGCAGCGAGTGTAATAAAGCATAAAACTACCACCCAGATATCTTTGTTTCACTGCACTCTATGGTCTGCCCCCAGGTGCTAAGAGCGCACTAGTTATAAGAGAATACTCAGCAGAACTGGAGATACACGGGGCTCTCAGCACTGGAATAACTCCCAGAGCTCACTCCAATCCTCACTTCATTCCCAGATGGTCTGAGAAGTAAAAGCAAACTGATGGCGTTTGCACCTCAGCAAATCGTTTGTACAGGCAGCAGGAACCGAAGCTCAAAACGTTCATCTCTGGCCTAGCTCCTGCCTCTGGCAAGACTGCTGAATACAAGTAGAGTTTGAAGATTTGTTTGAAGATTCTTTGCCACTGTTTTCAAGTAAGAAACAGAAAAGTGTCTTTGCAACCCACTTCCTCAATGCCTCTGGTTACCCTAACAGAAAATTGGGATGTGCTCTGAACTGCACAGCTGAAGGACACAAGGTTAAGCCAGGTGCAGGTTTTGAACACCTGCATTCTAAGGCACAAATTCACTTCTCCACTTACCTTTCTGGATTAAGGAGGCTCTAGTTTCCAAAAGTTAAGTAGAACTTCAAGTACTATGCTGCTAACAATCTAGTTCTCCTCTCTTGTGCCCAAAACATGATTAAAAACTCAAACCCAGCAAAATGTTCTCATATCAACACTCATTTCAGAGATCCCAATGAAGCCACTTCAGCTAGGCAGGACTCCCACAGGACTACATTAGGTATCTGTACGTGAGTTGGTTATAAAGGCTATGAATCAAGCAGCAACACACACAAAAATGACAAATTACCTCTGCCAAGATGACCACATCTTCATCATCATCATCATCCCGCTGCTGCTCTGCTGGTGTTTCCTGCAAAGGTAATTCTTCATCCGAGGAATCTGATATTGTGATAAGACCTTCATCCCTGCGGTTTACTCGGTCTGTAGCAAGGTAAGTCATGTTAGCTGCTTGCAAATTACCAAGACATCTGCAAAAGCAATCCTCACATTTGCTTTGCAGCAACAAGAAAAAAACACTTTGAGGTCACAGCCACTCCTATGATCCCCAGAGCAAAGCCTTGCAAAAAAACCGTAGGTCAAGAGATCACACTGCCATATGCCTGAAACGCTTCTGTGCAGAGATTCTTCCATCCTAAGCATTAGCATGAGTCAAGCTGCTGCAAAAACTGTCCCCAGTAATTCATGTACAGAGTAATTTTTAGAGAGATACCCTGAACTCTCAGTATCTCGGGCACCACACGTTTTCTTTTATTAATGTGCAGTACATTCTAGAGGACAGATAACGTTCCGTGTGCAATGTGACATCTTCTCAAAGAGTGACTTTGTGGGAGCACCGTATGAGAGCCTGAGATAGGGCTCCTGCTTGAGAGTGCAGATGATATCCTGCTATTAGATGACAGTCCTCAAGGTTTGTCACAAGTGTAAAGGTGCTACTGAGCAAAGCTGCTGGAACCAGGGAGGGAAGCACCAGCCAGAAGCAAAGGGTTTCTGCAGTGCCTGAGCAGCACGCACCCACGCTTTCCCTATGACTTGACACAACGCTTTGGTTTACACTTCTGAAACTCTGCAGGAAATCAATAAAGAACCACCTCACCTTTCAGCCATACCGAGAAAGAGCCGTTCTGAACTGCACTCAAAGTGCTGATCTGAAAGCTCACCTCTTTCCTATCAGATTGTGAAAGGGTGGAACACCACGAGCCCCTCAGATCTGCTGGAGCTCCTCTGCAGAGCCAAGCAGTCAGCACTCTGCCTTAAGGCAGGGCAACACCAGAGAGGCAAGAGCCAAACATGTTGCATGCCAGCATAAATTGAGAGGCTTTGCAACTATCTACAGAAAATTAAATAAAACAGCAGTGTGTCAAGAGGAGACAAATCACTAGCAGTTCTCTATTAACAACACCCCTGCACATTTAATACCTATTATTCCTGCTGCTGGTAAGCAGGGCTGTACAACTGTGACTCCAGGAAGTACCAATGCTCACCTTTCCCTCTGTGGCTATGGAAGCTGCTTAGGTGAACTGCTTCTTCATTCCCAGCTCTCTCTGCCATTTTCAACAGCTGTTCTTAGAAGCATCAAGGCCCACGCATGGCACTCAGGCAAGTGTGAGGAACTAGAAGACAAAAACAGAGGAGAGTAAAGCGTGTTTCAGTTTCAGTTCTGACTTTCAGTACAGCACGGCTGCGGAGCACAACCAGACCCACAGGGGAGGAGAGCATAGAGATGCTCAGAGCTGTGCAGCTGCAGGAGGGCGATGCAGCTCTGCCCAGCCAACACTCAGACCCTCAAAGACTGTTTTCTGTTTCCAAGAAGTCAAAAACTCAGAGCAGTGTTTCTGCCACCACCTGCTGGTAAGAGGAGTGAAAGCTTCGGAGCAGAGCTGTGTGTCCTGGGCTCTGCGGCCTCCACAGCCAGCACCAGTGCAGGGAACAGATCGTGCCACAGCATGAACCCAGGAAATGTGGCCATCAGAGCCCCAGTGGGCATCAGAGCCCCAGCAGATCTGAAAGCTGGGCTGCAAAGAAGGCGAATGCAAAGCGAGGTGCTGCTGGAATGGAGACAACCACCCCAAAGCCTCAGTGCCCTGTGTGAAGGCTGAACTGGGGCTACAGAGCAATCAGGGATGCTCATCTTATGCCATTCAGGCACTGACCCTTGGAAAGAAGCTGCACCCCAAGGGCAGCGTGTGACCAGGCCCAGGGAAGGCAGCACTTACAGGAAACACTGCACCACCATCATCTGCTGTTCTGAAGAACAGCCCTGCCTGCTTTACGACACAGCCCCTCCTCTATTACAATCTGCTGGAGGTTCCAGGACACACCACCTGCTCCCAAACCAGAGAGACACACAAGGGATGTGACTCCTTTCCAGGACAGAGCTTTTGGGACTGAGCTCTGCCAGCCACCCGCTCGCAGCCCAGCGCCATGCAGGGCTCCAGGATGGGATGCATCACTGCAACCTGAACAGCACGTTTCCATTCTGTGCTCTGACAGCCCACTGCTCTCAGCTCCAGTTGTTACAGACTGAAGTTGGAGCAATATTTGGTCACTGGAACACAAAAGGAGGCCTTTGTATTGACAAGTATTCATCTCATTGTTGAAGCATTGAGGAATCTGTATTATTAAATATTTACTGCTGCATACATTGGAAGAAAATGGTGGGTCTGCTCTAAAATCCTTTTGCTGGTACACAAAAGCAGTGTAAATCCCTCCTCATCATTCTGCTTAGCTTCCCCTGCAGGGAGCGGGATTTGCAGCTGGCACAGCATGACAAAACCTGTTCAGATGCACGCTATGAACTTAAACATACGTATTCCCCCCCAGGAACTGTTCATCCCCATTCTGAAAAAACAGGAACACACATCTCCTGCAGAACCAAGACCTTGGGGTTATTTCCACAAGGTTCCTCAGCCTCTGCCTTATGTGCAAGGAGAAGCAAGCCTTGCTCTGAGTGGCACTTTGATGGTCAGAGAGGTGCAGAAGTGCTGCCCCACTCCCACATGCTATCAGTAAGCACGCCTGCTGAAAGCACTGTCCTTTTTAAAAGGTCACATCCACATTATTCCAGTTCCATTTGCCTGGCACTTGTGAATATCTATCACTTTGCCTTGCCACTTTCCCATCCTCAGCCCTCCAAGTGCTTTAGAAAAACAAGATCAATGTTGTTCTCACCACTTACAAGATAGAGAAATGGAAGCACTGAAAGGAGCAGCACAGCCAAGGTCAGCCAGCAGGCGAGAGGCAGCGTCAGGAATAGCACCCAGGCCCCTGCAGCCAGCCAGGCGCAGCCATGCCCACCAGTCCTGCAGGCAGGTCCTGCACAGCACTCCTTGCAGAGCTCACCTCAGCCCCACCACGCTGGGAGCAATGCACTGCACAGGGCAATGCCACTGCTCGAGTCATCACACAGCAAGGGATTGCTCTGAGGCTGGCTGGGAAGGGAAAAGCCACAAATCAGCCCTGCAGCATCCAATGTGCAGACAGAGGCTAGACAGGTGTCTGCTCAGATCTGCTCTGCAGAGCTCAGTGGCACAGATCCTCTCCCCATACAGCACGCAGCATCAGAGCTCAGCTCGTGGGTCGGCCAACACCGACTGCCCTGCGCTGTCCTGGCTCCAGCTGGGGCTGTTATCTTCCTTCCCAGCAGCTCTGTGCTGTGGGCTGAGGCTGAGCACAGAGCTGACAACACCCATATTTTGGCTCTTGCTGCTCAGTGCTTACACAGAGCTGAGGAACCTGGGCACCAGCTGGGCACTGCTCCGCAGGTGGGGGCAGCCACGTTGTGTGCCATTTGTTCTGCACATCCCATCATTATTTTTCTTTCCTTTTTTTGTTCCATTAAACTGTCTTTATCTCAACCCATGCGTTTACCCTTTTTTCCCTTCAATTCTCTCCCCCACCCCAGTGAAGGGGGAGGGAGCAAAGGACTGGGAGGTGCTGAGCTAACCCACTGCCCTTCCCACTTGGCACTCAGACACCGTTCTCCATCGGCAGCTCAGGTTCATCCAGAGAGCAACTGGTTCCTTCAGCATCAAAGAAGAGGTGCAGGAAATGCTCTGTAAAGAAGCTCAGGATCACAGGCTGAGTGCCCCCTGCACATCACCCAAAGGTCCACAGAACAGCACCCACTGGCACGGCCACTTCTGTCCAGTGACACAATCACAACTTTTTCACTTGTATGGCATCAGGCTGCAAAGAAAGTGAGCTAACAAGATCAAAGCCAACCCAGGGGGCTGCCCTATGTAAACAACACAACGAAGGCAAGCAAGGCACATGGAAAGAAGCTATCTCACACCACCTCTGTGACTTTTATGCCTGTTTATAAAGCTACCTACCACAGAGTCCCAGCACAACTATCAGCCTCACAACACAAGGGCAGGATACAAGAGCTATTTTAAAAGGAAGGCCTGACAGCTGAAGGCATGCACACCTCCCAGGCACACACACACAGATGTGCCCTCTCCAAAGGCGCTGCTCCCAGCCACCCCAAGCAGACAGTTCTGCTGCTGGGATGTAAAAGCAGGTCACAGGTGCAGGCTGATTGCTTACACATGAGTCCCCAATCCCACTCAAAATCCCCACAACCACCACGTTTCGTATTTTTAGCCTAACCTAAAAATAGCAGGCAGCAGCACGGTGCATCTATTCCAACTCCCAGCACAGGCAGAAGTTTCTGGCTTGCAGGAATTGGAGCAGAACCCGAGCAGGCTCCCTCCACCTTCTGTTTGTGCTGTAAAAAGCATCTTCAGATGGTGCTGGGATTTAAAGCAACAGTCGAGGGGGATCTCTCCTCCCTGACACAGCGTAGCCTACTTTTTCCCACTTAGAGCGTTTGAAATCTTGAACTCCCACATACCCAAGATGGGAGCAGACACAAAGTGCTCTTTTCTGGCTCTAGCTCAAGGCAGCAGGACGTGCAGGAAGCACTGCAGGGGAGGTTGGAATAGAAACCCCGACCAAATGGAGGGGGGAAAAAAAAAAAAGAGCAACTTGGAAGAGATGTCAGCAGCATTAAGTGTGTTTCAGCCTCTCCCCCCATACAGCAACACCACTGCTGCTCACCTATGTTGACAGAAGAGCATCAATTCCTGCTTTCTGCCTGCAGGCAGCACCGTGGCTTCTGGTCGCCTTCGAGCAAGGTGAGGTTCTGGCTCCTCTCAAGCTGCTAAAACAAAGAGAAGCTGCTTAAATAATGCATGGCTTGTGACAAGCAGCAAACCGAAAAGCTAAAACTCAGCCCTTAAGAAAAAAAAAAACAGCACTGCAAAATAAACTCTTCCTGACCTACTGCTAAGCTTTCAGTGAAACATTTCAAAAGGTTCAATCTGCTGGGAGCTGCTCCTTGTAACAGCTGCCCAGCAGAAGCAGGGAGAGCTTAGCAGTGCTTATCATGCCAAGCAGCCTCATCCCAACTGAAACAAGGCTGGTCAGAAATGCTAAAAGCCTCTGTTTGCTGTGTGTGAGGAAACCACAGACACTGGGTACACCTGGCAAAAGAATGCAGCCAGAGCTGCTCTCATCACTACTGCTTCCCCTGCTTACCAGGCTCCCAGTCAGCCCCAGTCTTGTGGCTGAGCCATTTGGTGAGAGGATCACTCAGGCACAACCCTGGGAAGTGCTCCACTGCCATCAGTTCATCTGTTATCACCAAGTACAAATAGAAAGGAACCTGTCTAGCTTTATTTTATCCACCTACAACAGCAGCAGATTTCCCTGTGGGCTTTCCTAAGGAAGGTGAGCTGGTTTTAAAACAGGTGCTTTTATTTCCCAAGCTGTGACAGCGCACACCTGGCAGCTCCAAGAACTTTGCAATGGCAGCACTTGCATGGAACCAACATCTCAGGCTCACATCTCCCAAGCCATCGCTTTAAAGAACCACATTGTTACGTCTTTATGGTCTGAGAGTGGGGACAGAGCACACAGCACCACATGAACTGCAGCTTTGTCACTTCCAGAACAAGTTTCAATTCTTTCTTTAAGCCTTGACCTCCCACATATGCCAACCAAAGGCCCTTCCCTCTGAGCAGCACCGTTACTGAGGTGCTGGTATCTGAAAGAGACACACTGTGCAGGCGTGACACGCACCCGTGTGTGCCCAGCTGGTGGTGATGGCACTGCCTCCTCCTCCTCCCTATCAGCCTATGGGGCCACGCAGAAAAGAACAAAATTAGCAACCTCTGTGCCCTGGGATGCATGTGAGAGCACTTCTCTGCTCTGTATTCTCTGCTACTTACACCTCACAGAGCGCTCCGGGAGAAAGGATGCAGCATTTCCTCTCCAGATCCTCAGTAGTGCTTTTCTTTTCTCTTTTCTTTTTTAAGGAAATCCAAATGTCACCTTTAAAAGCTATAAGATAAGAAAGAAAGTGAAGTGCAACTCTCAGTAGCCGGGTCGCATGCCTTCAGGTTCCCAGCCCAGCCTGGTTTTCTATTGCAAGCAGAGAATTCAAAGGGTTCAGCGCTGCTCGATGAGTAACGAGGGACTGAGCAGCACAGAGCAGGGGGCTGCAAGGCACCGAGGCACCCTGAGCTGTGGGAGCAGCCAGAGGGCTTCAAAACCACCACAGGCTCCATGGTGGTGTACTGACTTGGACGCTCACCTCCAGCCATCCTTCTGCAGGTGTCAAACATCCCAGGACTGGAGGCTTCCAAAAGGAACAACCTCACAGCTCACACCTTATGTACTACAGCAGTGCCCTTTTCTGAGCACTCACACGGAGGTCAGCCAGGAGCCCGGCATGCTGACACCAACAAACACCCCTGGGTTTATTTCAGCTCAGCCACTTTGCTTCCAGCCCAGCTCTATCGGGTCCTTTCAGTGCCTCTGTAACACAGCAGGGAACCACAGCAGCGCTGCTATCAGGAAAACGGCGTCACTCAGCAGCAGCAGCATTTCCTACTCCTCAGCAATTCAGCTTTCCTGAGAATCAGTACAAATCTGAATTCACCATAAGCTCTTCAGCATCAACTCTGAGGAAACGACATCGCTCTCGAGTTGTTTCCAAACTAAACTTGACGTTCTGTACAAGTGAAAGGAAAGCAGCAGGGGCACAATGATGTCCACCAGTGAGACACAGCTGCCATCTCCACGCTTTGGAGAGCAGAACCCACTCCAGCTTCCAGGATGCTAAGTGCCTCTCCTCTCCCTGCATCCCAGTGCAGGAACTGCCACAGCAGAACAGCAATGAACTTCTTTTCTGGGCTGCTGCTGGTGTCCTAAATCAGCTGCACGCTTCTTGCTGCTGGCCACAGCGGGGAGAGATCCTGCTGAGAGCAGTTGATATCACACAGGGCAGCTCAAAACACATCTATCCATCGACCAAGGCGAGTTGTGCACAAAGCTCCAGCATGCATACAGACTACTGAGGCTAGCAGAGCCTTTCTTTTAGGAACAGGGGCCAACGTCTGAATTCAAATACTCTAAAACACAGACTTAACTTTTATCCCCAGACTGAACCCACGTGCAAAAAATCAAGCTCCTGACATGAAGAACTAGTGGTGTAGCTCTGACCATCCCAAAAAGAATGTGGCTCTAGCAAGCACTGACACCACAGCTGAGCCAACCTGCTCACACCACTCCAGCAAACCACTCGCTACGGCTCCCAAAAAACAAACCCAAAGGCACCCACTGCAAATGAATGGATGAATGGGAGCCTCCTCCAGCAGCAACTGGCAGCACCCAGAGGGCTCTGCTTCCCTCTCACTGGGGCCTGTGCTGCTCAGGTGCTGCTAATTAGCCCCCAGTCACACTTCCTGCCTCTCCCCAGCTGTGCTGGAGATGCACTCCGCCTAGTTTTGCCACGGGACTTTTTAGCAATTTGTGACCAACTTCAAAGCACAAGGCACGGCCGCTAAGAGCCCAGCTGTCAGAGGCAGTGCTGGTTCCACACTGCTGGCAGCAACGCCCACTGCATTCCCAGCAGACAAAGCATCGGCCTGCCGTGGAATTTGGAGTTCTGGGGCAGCTGCAACAGACTGCCAGCACCTTGTTGTAAACCAAAACATACCTAGTCATCAGCAGAGCCCGGCCCAGCCGCTGTGCTGGGGACAGCTGCCCAAGAAGGATGCCTGCAGGCAGGCTGACCGGAAAGCGCTTGAGGAAGGGAAAGTAAAAGGCAGAGGGGAGCCTGTTACTGAAACAGCATTGAATGCTGCTGCAACGCTGCAGGAAGTGGGGGAGCCTCCTTCCAGCCCCAGGGAGACCAGGCACAAGCTCCCATCGCGATGACCATTTATTAGCCACTACGCAGACACCCAGCACACGATGCCTATTAACATGCTCACTGTAACAACAGGCCTGAGGAGGGGCAACAGCGCTTTGTGCAGCATCGGCCCTAGAAATGAGGAGGCCAGGTGAGAATGGTAAATGCACACACGGGGCTCACCATACGGTTTGCACTGTGCACTGTTACAGCACAGTGCTGTGCAGGAACACACCAGGAACCACTGCAGACTCGCATGCACAGAGCAATGGTCTCACACAGCCCTTCTCTCCCCAGCAGGTTGCAGGCAGTGCACACCTCCCTCTGTGCTCCCCAGCAGCAGGAGGAGCACACTGTAACCCAGCCCTGGTCTGGGTGCCCATCTCACGCTGCTGCTGTTAGGAACCTCCTGCAGTTGCTCCAACAGACGGAGCCAAGCAGCTATTGCCTTCAGGATCGTGGCACAGCACTCAGCATGCTTCAAAACAAACGCAAGAAGAGACTGCAGTTGTAACAGAAGTACAGGTGCATGGCAGCACCATATCAGCTTTTTTAATGCGAAACACCATCAGCCCCAAAGCAGGGGCTGCACGACAACGCTTCACAGAGGGGCTGAGCGCTGCCTGGCGAGCACTGGGGAGCTGAAGGGAATGGGGACAGCTGGACTCCACGCTCCACGTGCGTTCTGCTCCCGGTATGAAAGCACTTCAGTGAGATCCCAGATAAGTTGTCGGAGGACACAAAGACGATGATGCTTCTGGTCACAACGGAATGCAAACTGCGAAGCACACGGCTGAGTTTCTGAGTGGGAGCAGCTGCTGCCAGCAGCCACACAGAAGCAGCCGAGGCTCAGCCACACAGCCACGGGTCAACCTGCCGGGCCCACTCGTGCTTCCTCCAGGACCTCCAGCCTCCCCCCAGCCACCCCACAGAAGCGCGGCTCCAGAGCCCCCCATCACAGCAGCACTGCGCGTCTGCGAGCTGGGCCGGCACCGCGACCGCAGAGCACGGGGGCAAAAAGGTCTCAGCGACACGGCCCTGAGGAGGTCGGGTTCCCCTCTCACAGCCGTCTTCACGACCGCACGGAGGGACGAGAGAGGCGCCGAACCCGGCCCGGGGAACAGGGCCCGGGACAGGGCCGCAGCCCAGCGGGCACGCAGCGCCAAGCACGGCCCCGGCTCGGCGGAGGCTGCGAGGAGCCGAGGCCGAGGCAGCCACGAGCCCTCTCCGCCCGGCCCGCCGCCGCTCTGCCGCCTCCCGGGGCGCCCCGCACGAGCGCTCCCTCGGGCGCTACTCACCGGGCCGCCACCCTCCCGCCGGCCCCGCTCCATTTAGCCGCCGCTGCCCCGCTCCTTCCGGCCTGCGCGCGGCACGTGACCGCCCCGCCCCGCACCATAGAGTGGAGCGGCGGGAACTGGAGAAGGGGGTGAAAGGAGAGGGACAGAAGGGCGGACCCGGCGGTCCCGTCGCGGAGAACGTACCATAGAGTGCGCGGGGGGCGGTCCTCCGGGCAGCAGCGCTCCGCCCCCATCCGGGCGCTGCGTGGAGGTGGGAGGGGGCGGGGCCAACGCGGAGGGGCGGGGCCAACGCGGAGGGGCGGGGCTAACGGGAGCGCACGTGGTGCCCGGCGGGGCGCCGGCTTGCGGGAAACCCTATAGAACGGCCGCACCGTCGGGAGGGCTGTGATCTGTATGGGGACCCATAAACTCTGGAGGGAGGAACGTCCCGTGAAATGCTCGGAGATGCCCTGATGTAGGGGGGCACCAAGTCCCTCATGGAGGTCCCGTGTCCCTTGTGGGGGTGACCTGCCAAGTGAGGCTGCAGTCCCAAGCCCCCCTGCCCCACTCGGGTCTCTCTGGGATTCCCCTTCTTCCCCCATTTCTGAGACTTTGCAGGACATCTCTCTCGTCACACCATTCCAATTAGAACCCTTCCAGGATTTCCTTCGCTCTCCCAGATTTAGACCCTTTCTAGGATTTCCTCCCCCTTGATTTAGAGCCTTTTCAAGACTTTTTTCCTCCTAATCTAGACCCATTTTAGCCTCCCTCCTCCCCCCTTCCTATTTCCAGCACTACCACAGTGTTCCCAAGCACTCTCCAGCCCTCAGCACTCCCACATTACCCCACTTTAGAATCCCACCTAGTCCCCCCTCCCCAAACCAACACACTCCTAAACCCCTCAATCCTGCACCTCTCTCGCTTACCCCATCACTGTGCTTTTTGTACCCAGGGGATGGAGCAGCTCTGGGGGCAGGAGGACACTGAGCATTCCGGCAGCGCTGATTTCCCTTTGATACCCAATGCCTTCTTGCAAGGAGCGTGGCCCCATGGAGAGCCCTTTTGCTCTGTGCAGTCCATAGCACAAAGTCAACCAGCCTGGGTGCACAGCTGGCAGCACAGACCTGGAAGGATGCAGAAGTTTCTAATGTGACTCCAGAGGAGCCTGCTGCATTTTCCTGGCAGCGTCACTCATTTTGTCTCTGCTCAAAGCAGCTTTTTTGCTTCTGCCTTAATGCTGGAGCTACAGGGAAGGGAGGTCCCACAGGGGTGGGTGCCAGCGCAAGGTTCCCATTGCCATCAGCTCTGGGAGGGGTTGAGGTGATGCTCTGTTCACTCTTTTCTCCTTCCCATCCTCTAAGAGGGAGAAAAGTTTCTGACATGGAGAAATCAGTGTTTTTTTCCCAATTCCCTCCCAGTGAGGAGCTGTGCCAGCATCCCAGTGGGTGGCAGTGGGAGCAGCCGCCGTGTTCCACCCCGCTGAGGGCAGAGGGACAAATCCCACCTCCACTCCTGCCTCGGCCCTCCCTCGGCCGCAGGAAGGCGGGTGCATGGAGGATGGCTTTTCCAGGCTGTGCAAGAGAGAGCCACACATTGAAGCTGAGCGCTACCACTGCTGCGGTGCTGCAACTGGGACAACACGACCAGGAGCTGCGGTTCTGCAGTTTGGGATTCCCTCCAGGGCGGTGACCTCAGGGGTGGCTGCTGGTGAGGTCCCGTCCCAGCTGCAAGAGGGGCAGTGAGGATGGAGCCGGGCGCATGCACCCCGGAGCCGTGCTACCCAAAGAATGGCAGCACCCCCCTCAACGCCACGTCCGATAGTGCCGGCGACCTCCTGGCCACCTCCTTCCTGGGCTGCATCCTGGGCACCATGTGCGTGGTGGGCACTGCGGGGAACATCTACACGCTGGTGGTCACCACCGTCTCCATGAGGCGCAGCGGCTCCATGTACATTTACATCATCAACTTGGCCCTGGCCGATCTCCTCTACCTGTCCACCATCCCTTTCGTGGTGTGCACCTACTTCGTGCGGGATTGGTACTTCGGAGACCTGGGCTGCAGGATCCTCTTCAGCCTCGACCTCCTCACCATGCACGCCAGCATCTTCATCCTGACCATCATGAGCACTGAGCGCTACCTGGCCGTCGCCCGCCCTCTGGCCACGCTGCGTGGATCAAGGGACCGTCGGCGGGCGCTCGCCTTCCTGGCATGGCTGGTGGCCTTCCTCCTTGCCCTGCCCAGCATGATCCTCATCGACCTGCGCACCAGCCACCACCACGGGGTGACCAAGCGTATGTGCCACCCCACGTGGCGGATGGGGCCTTACAAGGTGTACCTCACTGTCCTCTTCAACACCTGCATCCTCGCCCCGGGCGTCACCATCTGCTGCGTGTACGCCAAGCTGGCCAGGACCTACTGGAGGTCCCAAAGGGCTCTTGTTGCTCACGCCAAGCACACCAGCCACTGTCCCAAGCAGAAGGTGCTGTACATGATCTTCAGCATCGTGCTCGCCTACTGGGCTTGCTTTGTTCCCTTCTGGCTGTGGCAGCTCTTCAGCCTCTACTGGCACGAGCGTGGGGAGCGGGGCAGCTCCACCGTCGTCCCCATCAACTTCCTGGTGACCTGCTTGGCCTACAGCAACAGCTGCGTCAACCCCTTCCTCTACACACTGCTCTCCAAGAACTACAGTGAGTACCTGCGGAGACACCACCGGGCTGCCCAGCGGGGCTCCTCTGCACAGCCACCAGCCCCCGTCCCACCCCTGGGGGGCTCCGGAGAGGATGACTGTGGTCTGTGAGAGGTGGGTGCCCACGGGGCAGAGATGCGGATGCTTTTTCTTCTGTCGTGGTTCGGTGGCTCAGCCCTTTTGCTGAGGGCTGTGACACGTCGTTGCTACCCGGGTGAGGTTGGTAAGACACTGGTTATAGCAATAAAGGATAAAAGCGGGGTGGCTCTGATCACTGAACTCACTCTGAGCCTTTTGATAAACGTGCTCCTTGTCGTTGCATTTCCACCAGTAGTTCTACTGAAAATAATCTATCACCAGATCTGTTAGAGGAACCATTTTGCTGGAGGAATCCAGAGCCCCAGGTCCCCTCCCACGTCAGGTGCTCTGGAAGCACTGTTCCCAGTTGGTTCAGGCAGACTTTCAGATGAGCCCACGCTCCCTGCACCAGGGGACAGTATCTCTGTTATCCACGGGTTCCCAGGGAAGGGTTAAATCTCCCCTTTGAAATCCAATAGAGCAAAGGCATAAGGAGCCCTAGGCTCCTTATGGGGGACTCTGAGCAGTGTCCTCAGTCAGTCCCATCTGTCTGGACTCATTTAGTCAGCATCCGATTAACATTCCACTCCAAAGTCTCCCAGACCAAATACTTGCCCGGAACAATTCAATGTCTGTAGCTTTCTCGGACCAAGGTTAGCTCTGTAGAAGAGACCAGGTTAAGTTCACGTTGCTTTCTCATTCTCTCCTCACCACCAAATCCAGGTCTCTCTTGCAGATCTTGTTCTAGAACCCAACCAAATACCAAGAGTGATGCCAGGGTCCCCTGGGTCCTCCAGGAACGTCTCCTTCCATCCCCTCTCTGTACCAGAACCACCACAGCTCAGCCATACGGTTTCCAGGCACAGCCCAACCCCCGGTCAGTTTGCCAGCTGCTTCTGAATCTGGGACAGAGCTCCACAGACTTGGCAGGGCACTGCAGCAGCTGTCTGCAAAGCCACACTTACCCTCCCTTTAAACACTCCTCTTCTGCAGTCCATAAAAGCCAGGTTGTGGTGGAAGGAAAAAAGAAGTCATTCTTAACCTGTTGATGTCTCAGCCCCCCTTCTGTCATCTCACAGCCAGCCCCCGAGGGCTCCAGGCAGATTCTCTTTCATTTCATGTCAAGCAGAGCACAGGTCCCAGGTTAAGGGTCTCCTGCTCTCCAGGGGGGGGGATCGAAGCCATGAAATAATGCTCCAGTTAAGGCTGGAAGGGGATCCACAGGACACGTGGGCACTGTTTGCATTATTCACTCAGCCACTAACTGCAAGATTGCAGACAGGGGTTATACATTTAGGCTTGATGTTATTTCAAGTCAGCCAAATCAGGAAGCGAGGCATTATCCCTTCCTGCCCCACCGCACCTAAAGGGATTTTGTCTGTAAGTGTTCGTTGGCAAAGCTGTAGGATTTTAGCATTACCCTAAGTCACGTGTGAAAAAATGCCTGAAAAAGTAAATGATGGGGAGGGTTTATAGCTAGGAATCAAACTGCAAACCACCAACAGAAAATATAAAGAGGTTTGTCAGCAGAAAGCATTCATCAATTAAAATACATTCTGCTGTACCTTGGTCAAGCATCTCTCAGTGTACAGCAGGGGCTGCCTTCCCCCAGGCAGGCGGGGAGCCGAGGACACGGGAGCATCATCATAAATCAGAACACAGATCGCCACTCCTAGACCAGAACTCCTCACAGACTGTTTTTGTACATCCTGAAGAAGGAGGCAGAGACTGGAAAATTTAACCTGAGGAATTTAATCGACCTGCCAAGCTTCTGCAAAAGAGTGAATTACTAAAGTTCAGTAACATTTCTTAAGAGAAATGGTGATTTGTTCATCAGTTTCCCAAAAGCTGATGTAGTGCAGGAGTCCCACAGCAGCCCCTCTCCAACCGCTAGGTTAGTCTGGAGGATCACTGCGATGGTGCGTTTGGCCATGCTGTGAAGCTGCTCACAGAATATATATTTTAAACATGAAGAAAAACAATCTACACAGATGAAGGAAACCCCAGCTTTCAGCTTTGGGAGGGAAGGCTGTGCTGCAGCACTGAATCATGCGTGCTGACTGCCAGCGCTGTCTGCATGCAGACTCATACCACTGTTTCTCCGCTCACAGAAGTACAGGAAAGCAAAGATTCATCAGCATTAATTAATCTTTCCCCAGCTCTCATAAAGAGGAGATTATTTTTTTTTTCCCCCCTGAAAACTGAAATTTTGGAAAAGTAACAGAACATAAAAGAGGAGAAATGGCTGAAGGCTGGTAAACAGTCAGAGAAGGAATAAGATGAACACACTCTCTTGAAAGGACGAGTTTTAGCTGAGCCATCTATGTAAGCTGTGAAATCA